ATTAAAACCACTAAAGTTAAATAGGACAAAGGGACAGACTATTAGTGGTCTTGTAAAAACTAAAATTGTGTATGAGGTTTGGGTTCAACTTCATAGATTAAACCACCAAATCAACATTGCCCAAGTTCAATATCTTTAATGCTTGAAGAAACTGAGTAGTATACCTGATTTAATAAAATATATTGGCTATAATATACATAAAAAGAAAAATGTACAATTCCTAAAAAGTAAAAACAGGGATTTCATTGTAATTTTATTATTAAAAAATACTTAACTTTGCTTTTCTCCTACCTATTCTTTGTCATCATAACTGCTCTAGAACAGATTGAATGGATAGAGGACTTCCACGTCTCACACAATAAGCATTACAAGATTTCCATATGTCCCAAAGTTTGTGCCTCATTAACACAATAACTTTGAGGAAATCATCTCCCATACATATAGATTAACTTAAAATTGATTTTCATAACACCTGTTATAACAGCTCATACCCTGGGGAGGTCCTCTCATATGAATTTGGCATATCCAAATCTATCCTTAATTTTAGAAGTTTTATCAATATTTTTTACATATATTTCATTTATTTTTCTATCAAATGTTACAATGCCTAACATTTACATTCACCTGACAGCCTTGTTTTCTTTCCCTAAAACCTAAAACTAGGTATGATCAAATGTGGAATTCAAAAATAGAATTGGTAGATAGATATAAGATGTTCCCTTGTACAGAAATCAGCACTGAGTCTTATAAAAACGAGAGCTTTTGCAAAAATCACACTGCTAGTCATAGAAGACTTAAACAGAATTCAAGTTTTCTAATGTCAAAACCAATGCTTTTACTATTTATTCATGCTGCCTCCTGGGGCACTGGGTTACTCTCTCTTGGGAGATTTTTGAAACCAGGATTTTCTCTCTGGGGTATTTAAGAACCATTTAGCAATTGTAGCCATTGAGTGACACCTCAAAGAAGGAAATTGGGGGAGGGAGAAAAACAAGGAAAGAGGGACAAAAGGAGGACGAAGGGATATACTAAAGTCTTGGATGGAGTTAAGGTTTCCTAAAATGGGTTACTAATTTCTGAACAGGTATATACTGACTTGTGTGACACAAATATTGGCTTAATATGAACATTTCACATTTGATTATACCAGACAATTTGCCCATAGAGTATGAATTATATGGAAATAAGTCACTCCAAGTACAAATGCACCATGTACCTAAGCAGTTCATCTATCTCCAATGACTAAGTATGCAACCTTCTACACTTCCCAGAAACAAAAGCCAGTGGAGTTTCAGTCAGACAAGAGGCATTCACACTGAAAGAGATAATAATCAGTTAATGACTGAGTCTCCCTAAAGAATCAAAAGCACATTCTAGGGGGATTTCCTTTGCATATGAGATTCAAAAATAAATGCCAAAATTTAACATTTTAAAAACCACCTCCCACTTAAATATATTGAAATAATTGTTCAGTAACCATAAATTAGCATAGATTTAGTTCTGAAAGAAAAAATTAAAAAGAAGAAAGGAGATTTTTAAAAGCAAAACAAAAAAAATGGTGGCTCATAGAAGAAATTGTAGAAGTAAATGCAGTTAGATAGGTTAAGCTGATACCTAGGATTTAACTTCTCTCTCTTATTCTCTTTTTATTTCCTTAGCAAATATCTTTTAAAGCTCAATTAATTTCCTTTCAATAAATATACTATTTTATGCTTTAATAGTTTTTAAAGTTCTTAACACCAAAGTAGACCCTAACCCATAAAAGGATGTGACTTGGTGACATATTACCCCATCAAAATGATAAACGGGGTACCCAGAGGTTTGTTGAGGGCTACAAGAGAGAGAAATGTTCATGTAGAATCAGAAACTGATTTTTTTTCAATCTAACATGCTGCCTTATGGATAAAAAGCAACCAAATTGAGAATCAGTAACTGACAGGCCTGTTTGCATATAGTGACCTCCTCTCCTTGTTCTACAGGAAAACATTTCCACCTAGAGTCCTTTCACAGAATATCTAGAGACCAAACGAAATCAACCATAATGACTACCAGAGTCAGATAATAATAAGTTTTTAATTGAAGCATCAAGCCAATTAATTTGTGACAACTTCCTATCACTTCTTATTCTTGACATGAAGTTTCAGAGGACATGGTTTTCAGGCTCATGGCATGGCATCTCTGAAAGAGTTCAATGTTTGCACTCTTTAAAAATCACATTTATTAAAGAAAAAAAAATCTTTAGAGATGGAGCCCTAAAACTGAATTTGAGATTACAAACCAGCCTCTCTACTTTGATTTAATTGTCTAGAAACACAATGTCCCTTAAGCAACACATAACAGATTCTTAATACCAGCAGATCTTCCTTTGGTTTCAGAGGTTTCAGAAAGACAACGGAACCCTTAATATGTTTTTTCTTTGACTAATTGCATTCACCAAATGAGTGATTTTTGTCTATATATGCAGATTTTTTTCTATAAATGATTCACTGTCATTTCTCACGACACAAAATTTTCAAAAAAATACAGCTTAAGAACAAACGATCCTTTGAGGGACTTCCGTAACATTTATTCTTGCTCCCAGACATAGCTCTATCCAATGTAATACATGTCTGACAAAGTTTATGTAAATCTTCTCTGAGATGATGCCATGTGTTATTCTGGAATAAAAAACATCAATAAATTGTCCTGCTTCCATTTTCACTAAATTACAATTGCTATATAAAAATATTAACTTATATATTAACCTTAATTAGGAAGGTAAGTAACCAATGCCCTCTATATAAATGATAACCAAACCACTTCATCCATCATCACTGGTTAATCACTTCTCTGAAATTGTTAAGGTGAAATACCTGACAGAATCTCACAACACATTTCACTGGTTTTCAACAGGAAGCACTTCATATATATATATATATATTTTTTTTTCTTCCTCACACTCCAAATGTATTGGAAGTAATGCACACTAGTAGAAGGTGATGATAATACACTGAAAAAAATCTCCTTTTAAAATGTTAGCCACTGCTTCCTATTTCTTAAATATATATATATATATATATATATATATATATATATATATATTGTTTATTCTTTCAGCATGTGGCCCAATATTTCACTACTGCTGGATCTTTGCTTTTCAGCATTCCTAGAATATTCCATGACCCATCGTATTCTTGGTCTTCCTTTTGTATTAAGTCGTCTTTGTTAATAGCCACCTTTAAAGGACCCTAAAATTGCACGCAGAGGGTAAAATGACCACATATGATATATACAAACACGACACAGTACACTGAAAAGCACTCATTATGCCTGTCTGATAGGCAGCGCATAATTAACACCAAGCACGCACAATACCCACTTTTTTGTTTTGCTTAGACATAATGATCAAACATATTCAGTGCCCTCAGTGCCCAAGGCAGTACCTAGCAGAGATGATATTTGTTAGTAGCTTGAGTAAAGTGGATTATGTCAGAAACAGTGTGAAATGTGAAATGAATCTGACTTCATCAAATAATCTGAACTCAAGGCCAATTGGCAGCACCGCCCCGCTCCCAAACACATAAGATTAACTTCACCCCCCTTTCTCCCTTCATGTTCTGGCCATGACTTCCTTCTCATTCTTTGCTCTCCCTCTCTCCAAATCTTTCAGCAGCTTTGCTCTGCTCTTAGAGCCAATCCATTGGGAAAGGGAATCAGTAAGATGCTGAATGGGGCGACTTCACCATCAGGTAAAGAGGAAAGGGGAGGAAAAGAAGAGGGTGTGGTACTCTTTTTCTCCACCACACCCCATCCCCTGAGTCTTGCACTCCAGAACACTGCAGCTCAGAGAGACACAGAGGGTCCACTGGCTCACCTGGGAGCAACCCAAACCAGACCAGCCACCAGGCGCTCTCCCAGGAGGGGAGTGGGGGGGGGGGACTTCCCTTAAAGCAAGCAAGCAAAAATTCAGGGGTGAGTGAAATAGGGATTGGTGCGAATACACAGTCCCCAGAGCACCACGGAGAGATTGAAAGGCACCTTTAGATACAGACCCTACAGATTCGCTCACACTCTCAACTCGCTCCCAACTGAGTATTTGGCTGAGAATTTACCGAGAATGGGACACAGGGAGGACAGGAGAGAGTAAGTAGAAAGAGGGCATTACCTCCAGAGACTGCCCTCAGGGCGCGGACTAGGATCGCTTCCCCAAAGTGGCTCCAGTTCAGGGCACACACAGCTTTCCAGAGCTCAGCCGGGATTCGGACCCGCGTACCCGCGGCGCCCGCGCATACAGGACGCGCGCCGGGACTCCCGCACACGTCTCTGGACCCAGCCAGGCTCGCCTCCCCCTGCCGCGCCGGCTCCGCCACCCCGCGGGCACGCTCGCTCCCCGTGCTCGCCCCTCCGCCTCCTGGTGCCCCCACACCCACCGGTTCCTCGGCGCCCGCTGGGAACCTCTAGCGGAGGCGAAGGGAACCGCATCCGACCCGCGGCGCCCGGGCTCCGACGCCGGCTGCGGAAAGCCTGCCAGGAGGCGGCGTGGGCTTTGCATGTCCCCCATTCCGCGGGCCGGATGCCGCCGCCCCCACCTGCCCACCTGCGCCAGGCTCACCTGCCACCGCGTTCTAGCTGCTTTCGCCGGTGCCCATTGCTCTCTATGGCAACGAGCGGGTGGGTCTGCGGTGCTAATGGGGAAAAAAAATCTTGCCAGGGGGGTAAAAAAAAAAAAAAAATCCACGCTGTAAATCAGCCTGGACAGACGACCCAGCCCGATGCGTATTTCCAAAAGGTTTCAAAAGTGTAAGGAAAGGACGCTGCCTTTGGCTTCCTACCTCTCAACTGGACACCAGCAGCACCAGCTACTCCTCGACTTGCCCACCGGAGCCATTCGCTCCGGTTGTGCAACTGCGTGGCGACACCCGAGGAAATCATTGTAACTTGGCCTAAACACCCACCCTACCCCAACATCTATTTTAAGTTATTATTCCCTCTGGAGATTCAAGCAGCGGTTTTGCTCTTACCTAGAGGTGCTGTTAATTCTTCAGATCCCTAAAATCCAAAGCCAAGAATACAAGCACAGAAGTCCAGGGGCTTTTCCTTGACTTCCCAGATCCAGCTCTGCTGGCTTTTCCTTTCAAGGGAAACAGGAGGGGACGGCGGTTAAAAGCCCTCACAGTGGAGGCGCCTCCACACCTTCAAGCTTGTGGAAACAGAGACCAGGGCAACCTTCAAGCACCCAGAAGTCTCCCAGTCAGTCCCTGTTCAGGCAACTTGGCTGCCTATTCAGTTTTCTTCTGTAACCCCACAAAAACGTCAGTCACTTCTCTGGCGTTAGACAGGAAAGGATCAGATATTCCCAGTTGCGGCCGCTCCTCTCTTTCTCTGGAAACACCTCTTCCCCTCTTCTCCCCTTAATTAGGAAAATCTAATCTCTGCTTGGATTGGGTGGGGCCAAGGCGTAAAGGTGCTGTAAGAGTCTCTCCAAGGTACTTCAGTACCGCGTTCGCTTAGATAACCCCGGCTCTGAGGTGTCTAAGCCGAGGAAACTTTGAGTAGATGCAGCCCTAACCCAGCGCGGCTGGGCGGGTTTTGGGCACAGGTGAGAAGGCTGCGAGAAGGTTGGCTTCAAGGAAGAGGGACCTCAAGCGGGCGGCGGGCGGCCGGCTGCTGGGTTCCACCGGCCCCACTCGGCGCACGAAGTGCGCGCACACACACGCGCACACAGCCGCCCCCCCACACACCGGCCCCACGCGCGCGCGCGCTCGCGCCGCTACACACGCACGTCCGGCTTGGTGCCGGCAGCCCCCAGGCTACTGGCCACAGGGAAAGGCGAGTTCTGGCAAGAGGTTCCTAGGATCTAGATAATAGGAAGACTCGATCACGCCTCACTATTTAGTGAATTGCTAGCAGTTACTGCCTTCGTGTTCTCAAGTCAGTTCGGCTACCTGGCTGCTCGCTGCCCTGTCTCCCTCTTTGACTCGTTGGCTCTTTCCTTGAGGCCAGCTACTCTCCCAAACCCCTGAGTAAAATCGCCCGGCGAAGATTAACCTAGTTCCCATTTCCACCCTCCAGGGCCACCTCCGCCCCTTCTGCGGAATGGAAGTAGCTGCAGCAGTTCACTTGGGAGCTGAGGGGCTCCCCGAGATCCTTCGACTAGAGGAGCCTACACCTAGTTTCCCCGGACGCAATCCCTTCTTAAAACGCCTTTCTTGCCCTCACTTAACGTTTTCCCCAAGGAGTTCCTAAAGCTGCTAATGTATTTTTTAAAGGAACTGCCCTGGAACTTGGGATGACTATCTTTGAGAAGAGGGCTAATTTAGTGTCTACGCTTATATTGTAAACTGGACGGTAGCAGGTGAACAGCTCAGCTGGAGAAAGGGGAGGGATTAGGAGTCTGGAGACCCAACCCCTTTAGCAGCCATTTCCAAGGTTTTGCTCTAGAAGTAGCTGTGGGAACCTCTAGCTAGCTTCTGTCCCAATTTTGTATTCTTCCCTGGACGGTAGGGGATGGATCGCTGGGTTCTGCACAGTGGGAAACCCCAAGCCAGAGGCTCCAGGATCATCCACAGCTCTATGAAAAGTATCCTCCCAGTGGGAGTTTATCTTACCCAGACTGAACTGCAGGAATGAATTGCTCTTGGAAAGTAAACTTTTGGCCATTGGTTTGTTTTTGTTGTTGCTTGTTTATCAGGCATCGTCTTTTTCTTCTGCGCTGACTCTACACCAGAAGAGGTTACTTTGTCTTTCCAAGTACTGGACAGACTGTGGAGGTCTGCGGGCTTTTCCACTCAGTGGCTGCTAGAATCTCTAAGGCATGGGACCTGCCGGCAGAAAAAGCAAAGTGATGCAGCGTGGAGGTGGCGCCAGGTTCCTTCGCAACGGGGCGCCTCTCCTCTACAGTCTCCATCCGTGTGGCTCCTCCTCAGAAAGAGGGTCTCCTGATTGGTCTTCTTCAAGTTGGCAGCCGGTTAACTGTCCGCAAGAGAGAACAGTCTGCGAATACAGAACATGGTGTTGGGGAGTGCTAAAGTGGAATGAGATGAGGATTTAGTATAAACGATTAAACTTGTGTTGGTAGGAGCTCTGAAAGCGCTTCTAGCAGCTCAGAAATCAATTCAGAGCATTACAAGGTGAGCGTTGCTGCGCCTAGGAGCTGTAGATCAGTAGGTAAAGGCTCAGATTTGAATTTCAGGAGTGGACCTGTTTTAGATTCTGCGTGAGTCAACTCTGGCAGAAGCACTGCCCAAGAGGGACTGTTGGTGTTAGGGGTGATGCATCCATGAAGACTGCTCCTTGGAGGTAGAGAACAGCTGACAACTCTCTCCCACTGTCTTATTCTGCCATTCAAGGTTGCTCTTAGACCGGTGCTTAGGGAGTTGGAATGTGTGTTCACACCCGGCAGGCATTTCTTTCAGCGACTGTTAAGGAAAGAGCTTGAAGCTAGATTGCTGAACCTGCACGAAGGAAAAGTGAACAATGAATTTGGTAGAGAGATGCTTAGTGATATATAGAGAGAGGCATTTTTATTTCCGTGTGTGCCAGGAGCGACTTTTTTGAGGCTTGATATCCCAAGATGACTTTGGACACTGACTTTTGCAGCGTTTCAAGTGGAGGATGTGCTGCAGTGTTTTCCAACCTGGTATAATCTATAAATTGTCTGCTTGCCACAAGGTTTGATGCCTTTTTGAGTTCTAATTCTTAATCCTAATTAATAAATGTCTGCTCCTGATACTGAATGAAGTGGGAATAAGAATTATAATAAACCATTTTCAACAAAATGTTATCTTTAACTTATGATTCCTAATTACATAATCCTATCAGTGAATAATTAAATATTGTGGTAGAATTTTAGACATGAATTACAGAGTTGGATTCGAGAGACTCAGTGAAAGAAAATTCAAAATTTAGGACAGCCTCCTCTCCAAAAAGGTACTAGTGTCAAATTACTTTTATGGTTGTTTTTCTGAAAATCACTATCTGCTACTAAAGCATCTTTTTAAAATAAGCAGAAATAGGTCATTTATACATTCGTCAAGTTAAATATCTGGGGAGTGCTTTGTAATGCTTGGGAATGTAGTGGAAAGTCAGGTACAAATCAGAGAAGAGTCCATTTCATTTGCCCTGAGTTGTGGTTTACAAGGTGTGTAGGCAGCAGTAAAAATCTGGAACAGAATATTCTTGACATTTAAGCATCTTTAACAAAGAAAAAAGAAAAAAAATCTGTGTATTTATGGACTCTCTTCAGGAAGCATTCTCTTATTCTTCTTGTAAGAATGCAATATCCTCAATAATTTTTTTTTGGATTTTTGAGAAACCAAAGTCACAATGGTTATTGTTATGCAAAAAGAAAAGGAATAAGACTCAACTTTCCCAGCATCACTTTGCATATTCTCTTTTTATGGGAGGAAATAGTTGACAATAAACAAGAAAAGCAACTTCAAAATCAACAGATTCACTCCATTTCCTTACACCTTACATCTAGCTTCAGAATTAAGAAGAAACTATTGAATCTAAATGGTATTGTTAAAACCTGTAGTCTTCCAAGTCCTACCACCACCACCAAATTAAAATAGCTACTGCATTATTCTAGTATTGTATGTTTCACCATATTCTCTGAAAAGTAGAAATTGAAGCTGGGCATATAAGGTATCTCTTCCAATGAAAAGAATCTTGAAGATTTTTCCTCAAGATCATTGTTTTATAAAATTTATTTTCAGAACTCCTTTTTACTTTCCTGGAGCATATCATTTAACATAAGGATGTATTGGTTTGTTGTTCTTCAACAGCTACTTCCAAATCTAATACAGAATAAAACAGGAGCATATAATAATGAAGCTAGTGATAATAAAAGCCAGTATTTAGTGAATAAGTGCTATGCGATGTGATTTACATCCATTATCTCAGTTGTTCCTCTATATCCCCAAATTATATGGAGATTGAAGCATATGCAAATTTGCCTTTCATGACAAAGCTATTTTGTCACAATTGATTTAACATGAAACCTATATCTGTCTAACTCTGAAACCTGGACCACCATGAATAATTTCTCAGTTCAAATAATCTGGCACACACATTTTCAATTTTTTAATGTTAAGGAAAAAATGTGTGTGTGTGTGCGTGTGTGTGTGTGTGTGTGTGTGTAAAATAAAGGAATATGGCAAACTTAGCATGAGGTCCTTTAGGTCTTATCCAATTTGGTCAATGTCTGAGTATCAATTATAAAAACATTTAAATGGTTTAGTTCTTTGTGTTAAAATATGATAGCATTTTCTTGGAATCATTACCATCAAACACTAAATGCTGAGTTACAAGTTTCCTTCATTATTTCAATATTGTTTTCCTATGTGATAAAATATACAAGAGAATGTTATTATGAAGTTTCAATCATGTAAGATGAATAAGTTCTAGAAATGTACAATATTGTACCTATAGTTAACAATACTATACTGTACACTTAAAAATTTGTTGAGGATAAATCTAATGTTAAGTGTTATTACCACAGTTTTTAAAATAGCACAAATAAAATCCTCAGAACATCAATTGCAATGAGTTTAGAATGACATAGGAATATGCCACAGATATGTGATTTTGAGTTTCTAGTGGCTCACATTATAAAATATTTTTTAAAATATATTATTATGGAACAGATACAACATCTCCATACCATGAGAGATGTACTGCTATGAAGAAAAAAAGAAAGAAAATATGAAAAAATGCTCTTCTTGTTGATATTGGAGGGGTATCCATGTTATTTTTAGGTGAATATAGCAAGGGAGAGCAAAGGGTTTCAATCATATATTAACAAAATTGGTTGGGGTTGTGGGGTAAGTGGGAAGTTGTTGTCAAAGTTAGAGACAGTTTTTGTTGCTGTTGTTTGTGTGTGTGTGTGTGTGTGTGTGTGTGTGTGTCATGTGAAAGTTTTCCTTTCAAATGAAAAAATGTCTTTGAGGAATTGCATGAAAAGAAGAGTTTAGTACATGCATCTCTTTTACTTAAAAAACAAAGTTTAAAAAGAAAACAGTGGTGGAAGATGTTTAAGAATGTGGCCTACAATACCTTCTCTCACCCACTACCTTCACCAGGGAAAGACCTTGGGAGAAAGGAGGGAGAACAAGTGTTAAGCTTGGGTGACCATAAGGTACACAATAGCCTGGGTGGTTTAACCAGCAGAAATTTATTTCTCACAATTCTGGAGCTTGGAAGTCCAAGAACAAGATGCTAGTTTTGTTTCATTCCTGGTAAAAGCTCTCTTACTAGTTTTAAAACAACCACCTTCAAGGTATGATTTTACATGACCCTTCCTCCATGTATTCAAGTGAGAAAGAGAGAGGTATTTCTTCCTCATTTTATAAGACCACTAATTCTACACCCTCATGATCTATCTAACTGTGATTACCTTCCAAAGCCTCATTTGCAAATACACTGCATGGTGGGGTGGTAAGAGTTCAACATATGAATTTAGGGAGAGTAACTCAGCATGCAGTCCATAGTGGGAGGTGATAGGACTAAACCCTTTGTCACTTGGACATCCTCTGGGTAAATAGACTAATGATATATACAAGGATGAACAGACTTGTCATTGAAGAGTCCTCAGCAGGCTGACTCTGGTTTAGAATTACCTATAATGGATAGAATCAAGATCTATGACTCCCTGGAGAACATCATATAGGTTCTCTAGCTAGAGACGTTTTATAATTGTACTGCTATCCA